GTCTGGTTACTACCGTTTATGTCAGAACCGGTGCCATCATGGCACCGGATACCGGTACCCATCCCTAGTTTTCAATTTACCATCTTACATACTGCAGACCCATGTATCACACATGTATCACAGTGAGATAATCAACAACATGTGGTGCAAGCACCAATGTAAGCAGTCAGAATGTTTTGGCTCATCAATATATATATATTTACTTTTGGGTAATCTTCTTCAATTGCTCCATTCCAGAGGAGTCAGTGAGCAACTATCGGCTTGTAGTTCCAGTGCCCCGTCGAGCACAGCCAACAGTAACTCATCCTCTCCAGTCAAGAACACATTCCCCAACCAAAGCAACATCTCACAAGTCAAACCTGGGCCCCTGCCATCTAATCTGGATGACCTAAAAGTAGGTGATACTAGAGAGGAACATTCTGACAATCTTCTCTCCTTAACATACATATGTAATCCTTTTCATTCTCATTTTTTTTCTTTTGCTCTGCAAGGTTTCAGAGCTGAGGCAGCACCTGCGTATTCGTGGCATGCCTGTCTCAGGCACCAAGACTGCCCTCATCGAGCGACTCCGGCCCTTCAAAGACTCCAGCTCCTCGCCCTCGGGATCCTCTGATATCACCACCATGACCTTTCCCGTCACACCCACAGGGTCCTTGTCCTCCTACCAGTCCCCATCCTCCTCCAGCGCTCTGTCCCAGGGAGGCTATTACCCGTACCCCAGCACCTCCTCCACCCCACCCATCTCGCCGGCCTCCTCTGAGCTGTCCCTCAGCGGTTCACTCCCCGACAGCTTCAGCGATGTGCCCATGTCTTCGCCAACACAGTTTGCCCTTCATCCATCTCCTGCCCAGCTCGGCGTGGAGGATGGCTTTGGGGGAGGAGGAGGTGGCAGCATGGGTGGGGCGGGTCAGAGGATGGGGGAGGTTGGTGGTATGGATGGTGTAGAAGCTGAAAAAGACAAGATGCTGGTGGAAAAGCAGAAAGTGATCGAGGAGCTGACGTGGAAATTGCACCAGGAGCAGAGACAGGTGATGATCTGTTTAAAGGCATTTCACCTCTCATCCGAGGTTCCTCAGGTCTAAAACCAAAAGATGGACCCATGACTTTTTTCACAACTTGGGCCATGTGATTACACACTAATTAATAGGTCAGTGCTTCTTGAATGAGAGGTGAAAAGTCTGCCTTTTTTTCAAGCTCTTAAACCTACCACTACATGCTTCGCTAGTCAACAGGTGGATGTAAAGTAGAGATGTTAAGAAAGCTAATTCTTATTTATCAAGTCTGCAGCATCTAATACTAATGCAACAATCAATCATGTTATTATTTATAAAGTATTGAGTTGTAAATTGAATGCTCTGTGATCATGCTTATTAGGTTGAAGAGCTAAAGATGCAGCTCCACAAGAGAAAACGTTGCTATGGAGCAACACAGGATACGGTCCCTCCTGCATCTCATCCTCCCATGCACCACCAGCAGCACCAGACACCAGCCATGATGGGGCAGCATTTTTTTGGGGTGACTATCAAGCAGGAGCCTTTGTCTTTGTCCTCCAGCTGCCCTCTGTCCTCCCCTAAACAGCCTAAGTGCCCTCCTGGTAGCTGCAGAGAGGATATGGGACACTGCAGTTCCTCCATTACCAACATGGGGGGCCCCGGGGGACCACAGTGTATGGATACAGGCCCTTCCTCTAGCAGCCCCACCACTATGTCCACCTTCCTCAGCCCACAGTGCTCACCGCAAGACTCTCCTATCAGAAAATCCTCCAGCAGCCCACAGCCTTCATCTCCTAACAACCCCTACCTGCTGTCTCCTCAACTGGGGAGGGATGGCTGTGGTCACCCCCACACCCAGGGCAACAACAGAGCATGCAACATGCAGGTATGATGCCTTTATATTTAGAATGGCCATTTTTACTGACTTCTATTAGATTATATAATTAAAACAATTCAATTCAATTCAATTTTATTTATATAGCGCCAAATCACAACAAATGTCGCCTCAAGGCGCTTCATAGATACAGAGAAAAGCCCAACAATCATATGACCCCCTATGAGCAAGCACTTTGGCGACAGTGGGAAGGAAGAAAACAAGAAGCAGTATTTACTTTTAAGGGAATAGTGTTGTATTTTATATATATTTATTTTGTTTTCTTTGTTCTCTTCAAACTTTGAGATGTTTACCTTGAAGACCATGGTGGAGACAATAATTTAACCCATGTTTTAACATATTTTAACATGACCCCACTTTACACCCCTACGAAGTTTTATCAAACTATCCTGTTTAGAGACAGAAAGAATGATATGGACGCAAACAAACGCTACCAAAAACATAACCTAATCAAGGTTTGTTTAGCTTTATATTGCTATTTCTTTATTTTCTTTGGATATTCTGATTGTTATTGTGATTTTTTTAGCATTCCTGTATTTGCTGTCATGAGATCACCAAAATCATTAGGCATCATCATCATCATCAGTGGGCTGCATAAGTAAATGTATATTATAGTATAAAAGTTAAAGAAAACCGACATATCTACATTTTTAAATGTAGGCAGCCACCAACTAGCACAGAAACATATGTAACTAGCATTAGCTTTTACAATTTCCCATCATCTGCATCTCTGAAAACATGTTCAAAACAGTTAATGTAAATATTGATTTCATATACAAAATATGCTCTCTTTAGTTTAGGTGGGTTTTTTTACTCTTTTCTTCTTTTGTTGATTTCTAACGTGTTTTATTTTTGGCTAACTATAGATACAGCAAAAGAGTGGCGGGCCGCCAATAAACTGTTCCTATCCTTCCGACCAAAGAGGTCTTCAGGGAGTTTATCCCAGCTCAGCTGACTGTGGCCTCAACAACAGCAGCCCTGCTAAGGCTGAGAGCCAGAACATGCAAACAAAGGTAATTTTCTATCCACACGACCAGCATTTTACAGCATTGTCACATCAGCATCATTTACTTCAGCTGAATCATCTCACATTTATGTTACTGTTTTCCTTTCTTCTCTCCATTTGTGGCCTGTCTCTGTGTATTATTGTCTTTTGTTGTGAAGTTCATTTTGTCTTCATATCAGTTTTCATCATATATTCCTTGACATGTCAGTGACATTTCCTTTACAAGACGACAACGCCAAATCATTTTTTAGAGTAAACTTTTCACTGTGATGAGATTTTTTCAACGTGAGGGCCTAATTTGGGTAAATCCCCCTATAATATACTAATATCACTTTTCACCTATTTCCCATATAGATGTCAGTTTTGCCAAAGTGCCAGGTCCCTCCCCCTGCCTTCAGTAGCTCAGATTCAGATGCATCTGACTTAAGACAGCCCCCATGCTATGAGGATGCAGTCAAACAGGTAAACTCAAATCCATGATAAAATTCAGTAGAGATGGCTGGCCAGAATTTATTTGACCTTTTTTTTTGGCGTTGCTCTCATTCCACTCTTCCTCCTGTGGTCTGTCTTGTTTTTTCTTTCTTCTATTTTTATCTGTGTTGTAGTTTTTGTTTTCATCCATCGCTTTGTTCACTGCACTTTTATACCTATTAAGACAACAGCATTATAGTGATTTTTTTTAACCATCGTAATTCTGTAAAAATTTGTTACATTTGACAAAATATTTTATTCATTATATTAAACTGTAAAAAAAATGCCCTACAGTGTTGTGAAATGTCTTGTTTTGTTTGCACATAAAAGGGATTTTTTTCCCCTTAGACATAAAAAGGTTAGTGAATAATTAATAATTATTAGACCACTTGTTGTAGCTCTACGTTTTTGACTATGAGCAAAACTAAATTTCTGTTACCTTCTTAATTTTGCCAGCAAAGCAAAATAAAGCACAACTAAAATTTTTAAAGCCAATTAAAATATTTCTGTTTCTCAGAAACAAGCAAAAAGCTAGTAAAAAGGGCCGAGTCCCGTTTTAGGAGCTAGAAAGTTTTAAAAGAAAACAAAAAAACAAAGACAACCAATTCTGTTTTTTAAGCGTTTAAAATTTCAGCTGATAAAAGGAACGCACTTTTTGTTACTGTTACAGCAACTGACCCGAAGTCAGCAGATGGATGAGCTTTTGGATGTGCTCATAGAGAGTGGAGGTAAGGATTCATTCTATAGATCCTAGTGGCCGAAGACGAAAGCATTTGAAATCACTGCCTGTTGTTCACAGTCTTACCTGACACATTGAACCTGCTGTGACCCTCCCTCCTCTCCTCTTTCTCTTCAAGAGATGCCAGCTAACGCCAGAGAAGAGAGGGAGAGGTCCTCTGTAACCAAAGTTATGCCTCACATTACTGTGTCCCCAGGGTGTCCCGGCCTCCTCATCCCGTGGTTTCACCGACATTACGAGCACCTCTCCCCCACCCAGCTCCCTTACGACCACGCAGCCAATCACGTCACCGAGAGCCACCCAGACACTCTGCTTGGCAGTCCCGTCGGCCGCGGAGGGGAGGTACCTCTTCTTAAAATGGCAGCAGAGGATGGGGGCCAGGAAGATGAAGGGAAGCGAGAGGTTGATCGGTACAGCAGCCCTCAGAATCATCATCACTCTCATCATCCGCAACAGGACAAACTTCTGAGCAACCGAGATCTGATGGACACGTCTCTGTCGGCCATCGGCAGTAAGGCACCCGCCAACCCCGAGGTGCAGGGAATGGTCAGCATGACCTTTAGAGAGACGCCTTGGGAGACAATGGAATGGCTCGACCTGACACCACCCAGTTCTGCCACTGCCTTCAGCATTGCTCCACCCAGTGCACCCAGCATTTTCAATGCCGAGTTCCTGGATGTAACAGACATTAATTTGAACTCTGCCACAGACCTTCACCTGGAGAACTGGTAAAAACAACACTGTCCCTAAAGTGCTGGTTAGCAGCATACCAGCCATCGAACTCAAGACACCAGCTTGCAACTAGCTGCACGGACTTCTGATATTAGCTATGACAATACCAAAGACCTATTTAATTCTGTTCTTAACAGCTTTAAATGTTCACGTGTTGCTCCTTGCTATGATCCAGTGGAATGTATAACCATTAGCAGATATGCAAAAGCTGAAATCTAAGCCAGAAAATTGAACAATTGTCACATCCCAGCCTTTCCACTTCACTGAAATGTGGTTCTTATGTTGTCGTCACAGACCTGGTGCTTTTTTTGCATGATCTTGATGCTCACAACTATCAAGTACTTATGACAGCGGACATAGTGTCAGAAGAAGCGTTAATGTAACTTAAACTTTACGCCAACATTTAATACAGTATCAGTGCTATGACTTGAAGACACAGTTTGACTTTCATTGTATACTTTGAGTTATATATTTGTACTGGAAAAAAACCCCAGAGAGGACTTAACAGGTGAATTGGAGAATTGGATTGCTTAGTAATGGCCATACTGTAAATATCAAAACTGACAGAGATAAGTTGCAGTCTACATATTATGTCAGAGGTGTGGAAGAACATACAAACAACAAATCAAATGCTTTCTGTAATCGCTTTATATTTGATGTAAATATGTTTTTTTTAATTCACTGTGCACCTCTAGCTTAATAAACACTTGTCACAGTTTGCTTGAGCTTAGTATGTATAGGTTAGGTCATTTGAAGGAATCTTTTTGTACTTATTTGTTTTCCACTATTATCCACAGGATGACACCTTTAAAAGAATTATCTTATCAGTTTATATCAGCAGCCAAATACTGCCTTATTTGCAAAAGCTTTTTATTCCCAAATTTTAATATCAAATGACTGCTCCCCTGGAAGTTGTTGACTGATGTGATTTAGATGGCTCCAACCATGTAAAGCTCACATCTAGTTTTTTCTCTCTCTTTTTTTGGTCATTAAAATGCCAGCATTTCTGTTCCCATTTACATTTATTTATTTTGTGCTTTTTGTATTTATAGTTGATCCTGTATTTATACATTCCTTTAAAACAGATTGGGGCTCTATATGATGTATGAAAAAAGTACCATTATCGATCACTGACATTTCTTCATTATTAGTTCTCTTAAGAATGTGATACAAAGTAAAAGAACCACTTTGAAAAGCCATGTTTTCCTAACTTACTTTTCTTAAAAACAAAAACAGATTTGTAATTGACAATTCTTAGCACTTGTTAATAGGATGATGTAATATAATCAAAGTTTTACTGTGAATACTGGATATTAATAAAGAATAGACTTTCACAAAAGCCAGCCGAGATAAACCTATTATGCACAGTAGTTATAGGTGAGAATGGCAAACTCAGAAACAAATAAGGTTTTAGTTTTGATTAGTAAATGCATTTTTATGCACCTAAAAACTAAATTAAGGAAATAAGTATAATTTCTTGCATACCTCCTTTATATCTGTCCGCAGACTGTAAAGCTACAGCTAGCGCTAGCAGTTTGTTAGCCTAAATTGCATAAAGACTGACAGATGGGGACAGACCGAAGTGGCTTTGTCTTCAAATCACAGAATCAGCCAACCAGCACTTCTGTTTTATGTTCCTAGTTACATCTGTTCATTTCTTCTCAAAAGACCCAGTAAACTTCATTCATTGTTCACAGTACTCACCGTCTTTTCCAAATTAGCATTATCTTAGCTAGCTCATTAGTCATTAACTTGAAAACATGATATTAACTTTACTCCAGATAAACTTGTTCTATTTAATGTGAGTATTAGACATATTACAAGTTTTATTAGCAAAATGCTAAAATAAAGTGCTTTTTTCATGCAGTAAGATTAATACTAGCATAACTAGCAGTCTAGATAGCAGTCTAGACTCCGAACACCCGAGGAGACAGAAAGAAAACTTAATATGCATTTTCTTTTCATTCATGTTCTATGCTTGAGCAAATTTTTAACAGCAGTCAGCTTGCTTTTACACTTGAACCAGAAGTGCTGGTAGGCGTTAGCTACATAAAGTGTTTCTACCTAATTCCAGTCTTTATGCTAACATCACCACCTAGCTATTTTACAGACAGATGTAAGTGGTTTTGATGTCATTTCCAGTAATATAAAATTATGACTTCAGTTCCTTGGCTAATAAACCTCTTCCAATTATTCGTGCCCTCTGTAACCATGGTTCTCATGTCGTGTTGACCAAATTGTTTGTTTTTTTGTTTGTTTTTTGTTTTAAATGAAGTGTTGCACTTGAGTGGCTTCTCTGGTTACATGTCAGCTATTACCCATCTTCAGTATATGTCAAAGCTAATACTTTATTTCCTGTCTTCTGTTGTCAGAACATTACTGTCCTTTTCTTAATTATTTTTGACAAATTTTTAAATAATTTTCCCTAATTAAGAGGAAAGTAATCTGACAGAAGCTTCCATGTTGCTTGGCCACTGACTTGCCCAAGTCCCTGTATACTACAAAAAAGACAGCAATAAACTTATCACTTATCAAAATTATTTTGGCAGTTTTTTCGTGTCTAAATTACAAGAAACACACAATACAGGTTTCCAATCTTTTACGTGGGAACTTTATTTGTAACCATCGATGAAGATACAATATAATATTCATTGCCCTTAATATCTTATAATCTAATATGAACATTCTAGTAATTTTGCAATTTATACAACATGTACCCTGTAGATTCACCAGCGTCAGGTTAGCTTCCTGGAAACACATGACAGACTACAACAGCTCTAGAGACAGTTTGAAGTTAAACGGCTCCATCTGTGGGCTTTCTCTGGGGTCTGCACCATTTCGTGTTAGACAGAAATGGAAAGTCGCTTACCAAAAGAATCGTGTGGGTTCTACAACGTCACCACCTATGCGGTTGTAATGTGTTGCCCTCCCAAACAGGCCAAAAGTATTTAACATTTTAAACAAGCCACACTAAAACGTCCCCAACCCACTCCAACAGTGGTGGTAGTTTCTGGGAGACGCATGTAAAAGTCCCTACAGTGTCCCACACTTAAAGGACCATCATCCATACAGTTTGGTTAATAGCTATCGCCAAGTAGTGTGATATTTGTCTCGCCATTCTGTGGATAAGAGGCCCCGCCTGGTAAATGTGGCTTTCTGAAAAGAAACGACAACGGGTGCATCTCAATAGTCTCAAAATTGCAGCCTCCCATTGACCTTCTGCCACACAATTATGTAAAACTCCAGAATATTACTGACAAAGGAAGACAGGTGAGGCATTTTGGATTATGGAGATGCATCCGAGTTTAATGCATGGTTTGGCATGGAAATATTCTATCATCAGTGCAAGCCAGAAAGACATACTAAGTCATGGAGAAGCATGCCGAGTCCGTGGTGAACATGAGGACAAAAACGCAGTAACTGTGTGGAGTGAGATTCCTCTTCTCCCGACAGTTCGGTAGTTGGTATGGAAGTCAATAATTTGTGATTTAGCAGCATTTACAGTTTTTGTTTTTGACAGAACTCCCATGCCTAGACTTTTAAACTTGTAGTTACTGCTGCTATATGGCAGCACGGTGGATCTGTGATCAGTGTGCATGAGAAGTTTAACTGTACAGCGCTATGACAGGTGGAATTAAGGCTAATTCCTAAACTAAAAGAATTTGCACCTAAAACCTATCCTGGTGCTTGGATCTGTGTTTAGGAAAAGCCTTAACTGTTGAGCAGAACCTGCCAGTAACAGCAGGTTAGGTGTTCTATGTACATACACATTTACAGTGGACATAATGTCCCAAACTAACTTTACACCAGGGTAGAGGGCATCTTCCACTACTCGCAAGGAGCATGGAAACCAGGATGTTTTTGTGGGACAAAAAGCGTGTAGCCTGGGAGACTTCTGGGTGGTCCTGAAAGAACGACAGTATGCCTTAATGCAAACTGATCGCATTTAAAATGCAGGTGAAGGCATTTAAAAAAAAAAAAAAAAAATAAAAAATTAATTGTTGGGTTTAAGCCTATAAAGCAATGGAAAAATAAGACTGAAAAGGCCAACCAGAAGACTATTACTGTAAATGTTTGGGGCCATCTCCCACTAGGTTCCTGCAGCAGAATAGGCTAATGTAGCACTGGATTAGCACCACTTAAAGTCTCTTGTGTTATCATTTTTGGCAAAGTCAAAAAATTAAGTCTCTTTTTTTTGCAAAGTTATTCTTGGAGACCAAAATAGGTTAAAAAAAAATTTTTTTTAAATAACCTTGTTACCAATAAAGGCCTGGTTAGCTAGAGGCAATGCAGCTTGTTTGAACTACATGGGTTTTACAACACTAGGTATTGTAAAGGTATATTTATAAAAATAAAAAATAAAAAAAAAGCGAACAACAAACATTTACTTGTGATGTGCAAAAATGAAACAATGTTTATTTTTTCCTGTTTTTTTAGCGCATTTTACAAATCTACAGATATTTTACCCAATGCTTTGTTGTTTTGCTAGCATCACAGACCTATTACCATATAACTACCTTGCTTACCGCGAATAGAAAAAACATACCGTTGTTTAAACTGATGTTAAACTTGAATTTATTAGCATGATAATAGCGTAACAGTCTTTTCTATTTCCTCATCCATTTGACTAGAACTGTATAGTAGAAAAATATACATTTCCATTCAGTTAGTATACCTTATTTTACCAATCTTAACCTTTTTTAAACCTGCTTTTTCTTTTTTTCTTTTTCTTTTTTTTTTAAAGGACAGAATTATTTAACATATATTTTGCTAATCCGCTTCTCATCTTAGCTAGCTATTGTTACATCATCTTGTCCTTTGTCTTTTTTATTAACAAAAACCTATAAAGGATATTTTAGAAGCATGCGTTATTTTTTTGTTTTTTTTAACCCCTCAATTGTCTTTAGTTGTAGCTACCTCTTTGAATGACAAAAATCCAGTTACATTAAACCAGATGTTGCCATTTGATATTACTTCTCATTAGGAGTTTCTACCACCAGCTCTGTTCGGTTGCTGTTCAACAAGACTAACACAGGAAATTCTCAATCAAAAAGAGATGCTTAGTTTTATAACTCAAACACAATGATAACAAAAGAGACGAACTGAGGCCAGTTTGTGAGAAATGGCAGTTGTCTTATTTTTCTATCAAGACAGCTTCTCACAGATTGCATATTGGGGGAAAGTGAAAAAGAAAAGAAAAAGAAAGCCGCGCTACCGAATCCACCACACAGAAACACTCTTGCATACTCAACCATTTGCTGAGACTAAAGGTGCTCTCAACCAATGCATAAAAAGACTGTTGAGACAGCAGATCTATCTGCATACATTTGTACATGTCAACAGTTCAGAGGTGAACACACATATGCAATCATACAGTCCACAATGTACAATCCACTGGGTGGCTATTTTTTTTTTTTCCCTCATACATCAAGAGCGTCACTGCTCACCATTTTATTTGGTAAATTCTGTATTTGTGTACAAATTCAAGTACATATTTTATATATATACTCCATTCCTTTTTCCTCACATACACAGATACATTGCATTTTACTAAGACAATGTTCTCGCTTCAAGTTTTTCTGGCTGAAGATAAATGACAATATTATGGGATTTTAGAATGAGGTGATGGGAGGTTGAAAGGTTTGCTTAAGGATATTTGTCTCATTGCACTGAGCAATTTGGACTTAGTTCCTTTGTTCTTTGGAACACGAGAAAAAACTGGTGATCCCACCTAACTCTTAGGGCTAAGATGTCAAACGTCGCGTCACAAAACTTAGTGTCCAACCCACTGTTGGCTAACGACCCCCCTCCCCCAACCCTAACCCCACCCTCCCTGGACTAACTGTCAGTCGACATACATGGGCGAGATAGGAGAGGCAGGGATCTGATCCAGAATGCGACACACATAGCTGGCGACGTCCACAAAACGCTCCTCATACATCAGAATGAAAGGGTGTTTCTACAGGAGAGATACACAAAGCTGAAGTCACAATTCATCCTGTATGAGGCGGCTAATTTAAAGTTGGTTTAGCCTAAATCCTGAAATATCGCAGCGCTAGGAGTTGGGGTAAAATTGTATTTACTGCAGCAAATAAAAATGACTTTTACATTTCAATTTTAAGTAGTATTGAAACTCACCAGAAGCTCCTTGTACTTTGGCCTTTTTGATTCATCCTTTGTAAGGCTGGACAGACAAAAAAGAACAAATCAGAGGCAATGGTTCAAATGTAGTGGGCATAAAAATGTGATTGTGCTTACCATAGGTTAACAAAGTTGGTGAACTTGGGGGAGAACTGCCTCTCCTCTGAGTTGCTGAGCTGGGGAGGCTCGCCTTTTACCACCTGTGTCAGCTGATCGAAAACACTATTCCACTTAGGGTAGGGGAATCTTCCTGTTGCCAGCTCATACTGATAACAAACAGAAAGAACCGTGATTGTCTAACACTGTGGATTTATCCTTATCGCAACAGCTTAACTTAATAAAACCCTTGGGTCTTACCAGGGTGATTCCCAAACTCCATACATCAGACCGGACATCATAGCCTTGTCTAGAAGCACTGGGGTCTATCCTTTCAGGCTGCAAAATGCACAAATGAAAATATTCTGTGATACACAGATAATTCACTAGACCCCATAAGACAGTATTTCCCTCTATCATACAAATGCAAAATACATGTGAGTCACAACAATTTTAAATCCAATGACACGTGACGTGAACATGTCATTAAATGCAAAGTTCTGAGGATGCTCATATAAATATAGACTCGCTCCCAACTGCAACACCCTCTGTGCAGTGAAAACTACCGAGAAATGACTTGACACACAGCTTAAGCCAGGGGCAGACAATTAATTTTCCCAAAGAGCCACACAAGAAGCTGGACTGTTGCGGAGGGCGATGTTAATAAGCTGAACTCAATTCTGCTCAGTATTAATTTGATCTCTCCACAACAGTTGCACTTCTCATGTGGCCGCTTGGGAAAATTAATTGCCCACCCCTGGCTTAAGGTACTGAACTGGTCTCCAACCTCTCTTCAGCAAGCCTGATTTATTACAATCCAAAGGATCAGTTGCTCGACAGCACAGGACACCAGAGGTCTGTGCCCCCATTGGTCAGAACTGAACACAAGGGTAACCCATGCAATATTAAGCAGAAGATTTAAATGTTTTGGCTGCTTGGGGTGCACTCTGCAAGGTATGAACAACTCAAATGAAGGTTCGTAATAAATATGATAATAACATCAACCCGTTTTACTCCTTCACATGTAACTGAT